CTTGCCTCCCAAATGCTGGAATTAAAGGGGCGCACCACCACGCCTGGCACCCTGAACCACTGCATGAGGCCTGTCCACATTAGGAGAGGCAGATTGCTTTTTTCAATGTTTGTCCATTTAAATGTTAATCTGATCCCCCACCTCCCCACCCCAAGCTGACATATAACATTAAGTGTCACCCCTATTAACTGCACAGTTCACTTCCTCATGCTAAGGAGAATACAATGTAAATAACAGTCCTGGCATCCCGAAGCTCACTGTTTAGCAAGGAGCTCACCTTTATTTATCCTGTCTCCTTCAGAGGCTCAAGTTCGCTGCCTGCTCCATCTCACCTGTTGCACTTGTCATATCTGAGGAAGACAAACCTGCTGCTGTCCCCACACAGCCCTCCTGTGCTGTCCCGGGGAGTGACAACAGCCCTGACTTCTCCCCACTTCCCCCACTGCTCCTCCTGCTTCTGGGGTCTGGGACTCCTGCCTCCTCCTCACAGAGAATGACCATGAGACCCAGGTTGAGCTAACTGGCACCATCTCTGGGAGTTAGAGAATCAATACCAATGATAGGAAGATGGAGTCTCTCCCGCTTCACAGACTAGAGCAGGACTGACAGGGCCAGAGAACAACAAGCCACAAGGACAGTAAATATCCCTGTACCTAATCCCCTGTCCCCTGTTCCTGTGGTTTAAGCTTTCCTCTGCCTTTTCCATTTAACAACTAAATACACACACACACACACACACACACACACAAACACAAATACACAAAACACAAACACATGCACACACTCACACACAAACACAGACACACATATCACCACCACCGCCGCCACCGCCACTCCTAACTCTTCACCCTAGCCTAGCACAGTGTCTCTCAAACTGGGGTAGGTTTGTCCTCTGGTGACACATTTCCAATTGTCACAGTTCTGGGGATGCTGACAGTATCTAATGGATGGAAACCGAGGGTGTTGTACCTGGCTGTACTTTGTGAGACAGCTGGCCACCAGCAGGCCTCCTGTGGCCCGCATGTCAAGAGCAATTGAGAAGCCCACTGCAGCTCTCCTGGTGGGGCCTGTGCCCACTACCCAGGGATCTCCTGACAGGGTAGCTGTGGGCTAGAGCTGTGGGCCCTGCACTGACCCGAATATCCATGTCACCGCCACTGTCCAGGACCCACCCACTGATAACCAGGCCCATCATTCTCATCTCCTGGTTCTGTGTCTAACAGAGCCCCATCTGTAGTTCCGACAGCGGCCGAATGCCATGGAAACAGTATCCCCTGTCCTCAGGTCTTAGAAGCTTTTCTTTCTCTTGGACCTGGATGTGGATTAGCTTCTGCTTTTTTATTAACCATGGATATGGGAAATGAGACACCCCCCCCCCATCTCTCTGCAGTTCCTTGGCATAGCTCTTGCTTTCCAGATGTGTTATCAGGGGCCCTTGTTGCTATAGAAAATTCCGAGGTGAACTGGAAGTTGATGCTGCCTGGTTGCCATGGCAATGCCAGCTCCTTCTGCCTTCACAGCAAGGCAGAGTGGCCACAGAGAGGCTGCCAGCAAAACCTTCCCACTTTGTTTAACACTAGCCTTAGACCGTTCCCCAAGGGTGCCTGTCTACAGCTGACACACTCTGGCTCAACCGGTTCAATCCCTCTGTGAGGAAGTGGAGGCCTGCAGCTGCCCTTGCCTTAAATGGTGAAGTCCTACTGTGTGGTACTTACCCTCATTAGTGAGTCAGCTCCTGCACCAGCTTTCAGGACGATGCTGGCAGATAGCCCCATCCTGTGGGCCAGTTGCCTTAGCTACTGTCAATGGAAATTACCCATTTTGGAAAGAGCTATTTTCAAGCTAACACAGGAATATCTGCTTTAGGTCTTTTTCTGTTGCTAACGAAATACCCAAGACTGGGTAATCGTTAGAGAAAACAAGTCGATTTGGAGATTAGGACCTTCAGAGCCTGGACAGCTGATGAGGCTTCTTGCTGCATCTTAACAAAGGCACGGGACAGAGTGAGCACACTAGCTCAGCTTCCTCTCTCCCTCACCAAGCTGCCCCTGCCACCCCAGGTCTGCTACCCTCCTAATGTTGTATAATTTTACTCACCCCCCTCACAACCTTAACTCCAAATTCAGTCACCATATGACCTTGGAAGTTAGGCCTCCAATGCCTGAGATCTGGGGAGACAATGGAACCATAGCATAGCTCTTCATGAAGGAGACCGATGAACCCCTGAGAGGGAATATGCTTGAGCAGCTGGAGAAGCTTCAAAGCCTTTTGCACACGCTCAGTGGAGAGCGGTTAAAGGCTGTTGACACCTTAGGTGTCACCCAGAACACTTCATGGTGTCTTCATCCCAGTCTTATGACCAGGATGGTATCACTACCTTCTTGTCACAGAGAAGAAAACAGGCTTACACAAATGCCATAGAAGGCTCCTCAGGTGGCACTGCTGGCGAGGCAGAGCCAGAATCCGAAGGGGAAGGTTGTGTTAGCTCTGTGTGACTACAACCATATACAGGAGACCGTCAACTTAAAAGGTGGCAAGGTTGCTCTTGGGTTCCAGTTTTTTGGAGGTTTTAGTCTGCAATCATCTTGCCCACCGCTTTCGGCAGAATAGCAGGCTGGGAGCGCATGGTGAAAGGAGCTGTCGCTTCATGCCTGAAAACCAAAAAAAGAGGAGGAAAAGAGTGGGGTCTGGCCCCCGGTTGCCCCTTCAAAAGCATATCCCAGTGATCTTACTTCCTCCCACTAGGCCACACCCCTTTTGCCTCCACTAACCGCCAGTAATGGCACAGGCTGGTGACCAATCCTGTGGTAAGACATAGGCCTGTGGGGGACACTGAACATCCAAACTGTAGCAGAGGCCTCATTCTAAGCCTCACACATGTTTTGCGCTGCTGCTGTGCACAGCTGTGAGGCGTCCAGACTATCATTCTCTATTGACGTATGAGGAAACTGGGGCTCCCAGAGGTCAGGTCAGACACCTCGGCTCATCTGAGTGGCAAATCCCGGGATGAAAGCACTGCCTGCTGCTTTCCAACCTTCACTTGCCTGTTTTGACCACAGCTTGATGCTACTTAGTGGCGAGTGGCCGCCGCCCAAACAGGAAGCCCCGCATGCATTCGAAGCCTGCTCAGAACAAGATGGGAGGAGTCCTGCCAGGCTAGGAGACCCCGGCTCTTAGACAGGACCGGCCAATGCTGCCATGGCAACACTGAGCCAGCCATGGCACCTGCAACTCTTGCAAGTCCTTGGTGATTGATGGCAGCTGATGCCACCAGAGTGGACGAGAGAGCTCCCTGGCTGACAGGCTTTATTTATATCCACAGTGGCATCTCAAGGAAGTCAGTCACAAGTCTTTGGCACCCTTAAGTGTGTCCAAGACAAAGTTGATGGAAACCTTCTGATAGGGCTCCTGGCCCTGGTAAAAAGACAAAGATCTGGCCGTCAACGAGATGTATAATGGCTGGGCGTGGTGGCACGCGCCTTTAATCCCAGCACTAGCGGGGCAGAGGCAGGAGGATCTCTTGTGAGTTCGAAGCCAGCCTGATCTACAAAATGAGTCCAGGATAGCCAAGGCTATTATACAGAGAAACCTTGTCTCAAGAAATTGGGGGAGGGGGACATAATGGAGGAGGACAAGTGGCAGGAGAAGATGATTGGGACACGATCTGAGGAATAGCCAGATGCAGGGTCCCTGGGGTGGCACATTGCCCTAGGAACTGTGAGAACAAGGAAAGACCAAGACAGAGAGGCCCTTAAACCACTGAGCCTCCCAAAGTCATCCTCTGCTTTGACATTCAAAATGATGTCCCATCTTCCTGTCCGCATGGACTGGGCAGCCCTAGTGTTCCACAACCCCGCAGCTTCCTTCTCCCCCAGGGGTTTACATTCCCTCAAGCTGAGTTTGAATCTCTGTGACCCAGGAGCGGCGGTTTGCTTCACTTCTCTATGAACCGAACAGAGAACACCTTTCTCTCTAGTCTCCGGGGTGGGGCTGGGGGTGGGGGGGGGTTACGTGTGAGAGTAGGAATAAAGACCTGATTAGCCCTTGGCCTATGGCCAGGACTCAGCATGGCTCTCCCCATCTCCCCTGCCTGTCTCCAGAGCCAGTGTGCGTGTGGTCTTCACACAGCAAGGCGCTGAGCTAGTAGCCCCCCGCAGAGCCCTCCTGCAGGCCTCAACAGGCAGGCCCCTCAAAGACTGCCCCTTTCTCCCATGTGGTCCCAGCCCACCCACGCTTCTGATTACCAGCCGGCCTGTAATTAGATGGCTGCCTGGTCCTGGAGAGGGTGCCCGTCAGCACCTGGCCTCTGCTTGCCGATGAGACACCAGCTCCTACAAGAACCTACTCGAGGGTGGCTCTCCCCACAGTCCTGTCAGTGACACAGACAGACAGCAAGAGGCATCACAGAGGTGGTTCCTGCCATAGCAAGATTTCAGGCTTGGCACGGAGGGGGAACAGAGAGCTCTAGAAAAGGCTGTTGGCACAGCTGTCCTCTCCCATGCTGCTAAACCACCAGTTAGGGTTCCTTGACAGGGCCGCCGTCATCCCACCACCACAGCCCGTGAGTGGAGAACACAGGTGTCAATTAACGTAGCACAAAGTCCTGGCTCTGCCTTTCACTGGCTGAGTGGCCTTTGACAAGTGGCCTCCGTGCTCAAAGTCTCTTTCTGCAAAGTGTCAGGAGTGAACCTTGCTCCAGGTGCTTATGAAAATCAGCTGGGAGCCAGGCACAGACACCTGGGAGAGAGGCTTTCCTGTTTCTTTCTTTTGGTTCTGTCCCTCACTTCCTCCCTGAGTCAGCCACGCTTGCATCTGTCTCCCTGGACTGACAGTGTCCTGCATGATTTGCTTACCGAAGTCCCACTGATTCTGCAAGGCTGGTTTAAATGTCACCTGTTCTGAGAAGCCTCTGTCGGCTCCCCCAAGAAGTGAAGTGCTTTGTATTCTGTGTTCCAAATAGTAGTTTGATCGTACATCCCCACTGGGTGTTACTATGGTAGCTGCTTCCCACCCCCACCCTCTCTGCACACCATCCTTTAGTCCTCCACCCCTTGGCTGGGCTTATGAAACCAAGGGAGACTCAGCCTCTATTTGTTCTTCTTGGAAATTCACCGAGTAGGTCCTCTGTAATCCTCAGCTGAATCGATGCCTGCCTGCAAAGGACAAATAAACAGGTGGACAGGTAAGTATAGAGATTAAATATTAAAGGAAAAATGCAGAGGCCCAAAGAAACCTTGTTCTTTGTCAATATGTTTTCCTTTGGGTTGGGCTGGGTTGAAGGCTCAGGTCTAGAAGGAAGTACGGAGCCTACAGAGAGGCCACCTAAGGAACAGGAGCCCCGAGGGGACCGGCTGAGTAACTTCAGCTTGTTTTTCTTAACTCTCTCTGGCCTGGCAGGGGAAATTTAATAAATCCTCAAGCTGTGAAGACTTTGGAGGCCCAACAGAGGCGCATCATGGCTGGAGACTCGCAGGACGGAGTCCCTGACCCAGGCTCTCAGGGACTGGTGGCCCATGTACGCCCCTCCCTAGAGAGGGACAGGACCTTGACTGTGACCAAAGAGACTCCGGCCGGGAACGTGTCCTGGAGAGGCCCCAGGGTGAGGCTCGGGCTGCTAGATGAACTGGAGCACCCGGCACTACAGGTACTGCGTGCAAATTAAGAACCGGCTGCCAACCTGTCTCCTGGAGCAGCCTGTGTCCTGACGAGCAGAGCCCCACACACTTCCAGCAGCGCCCCCATTCTCCTGGGCTCTGTGAGGAGGTGACATAGGGGGGTCATAGGCTTGAGCAAAGGTTTGCTAAGTGAGCAAGTGAGTAGGTGAATGGGCATGCAGATGAGTGAGTGGGCCCCGAGCTTGAACAAGAATGGCACTGGAGCCGGGTGCCCAGCCAACAGCCTAAAGGTTCCTCAAAGTTACCTGGACCAGCCCCTGAGCTGACATCCTGGAGCCCCTCCCTGGGCTCTGGAGGGTACAGATCTTCACACGGCTAGCACAGAGTGTACGCCCTGTGGGTACTACTGTAAAGTACAGATGCTTCCTTGACCTGCCCTGGAGACATGTCTTCATAACCCATCACAGAGAGAATAACATAAGTAGGAAACACACTGGATCCATCCAACCTTCCAACCCTGGCTTAGGGACATGAAGCTGACTGCGAGCTGTATCCCACTCAGCTGTTCGTCCAGAAGCTCAAAGGAGAATTGTAGCGCTTACCCACTGGCTGGGGAAAGAGTCAGATTCCAAATACAAAGCAATCTTTCTTCTGAGAGCACATGGCTTTTCCATGCTGCCATGGCCTCCCAGAGTCACTAGCTTCACTGTCCCGAGTTGGAGAGGGTCTAGAGTTAAATCTCAGCCATGGCACCCTCTCACTCCTCGAGTCCCTGACTATGCTCCATTACTCTTTCTGAACCCTCTTTCCATAAGCACAAAAGAGCCATCAATGGTAGCTCCTCTCCAGGATATGGTAAAGACAGAGATGGTGTAAGATGCTGGCACACAGGAAGAACTAAGGACACAAGCGTCTGTAGAGCATGAGCCTGTTCCTTCTGAGGACTGACCCACCCTGGCAGGAACAAGCTTTACGGAGTTCTGTGCCACCTCAAGCCTTCCTCCCACGGTGATGGTGTGTCTCATCCTCAGCTAAGGCCCGAGAGTTTGAGACTCCCTCTCTTTTCTGAGAGCCCCTCTCTTTTCTGCCTACACCATTTCTGCCTTTCCGTAACCTCTACTTATGACCATGAAATTAGCAGTTGTGCTATGCAGTGAAGAAGAGAGGGTTCCTCAGGCCAGAGCTTACTCCAGTCAGCTCTGTCCAGTTCTTACTGGGCAAGCAGTGAGAAGAACAAGATCCCTGTGTACCCCGAGCAGCAGCAGCCTGGCAGCTGCAGGACCCAAAAGGGCCTTTTCAGGTTCTTCTCCTTCGAAAACATGGGAGCAGGCCCAGCCTGGGAAGCAGAGCTGAGCCTTGCTTCTGGTGGTCTCTTGTCGCCTGGAATTGCTCTTCTAAAGCAGGGCACGGAGTATGCTAGGCCCTCAAGCCACATCCTCAGCTCGAGAGACTTCAGGCAGCTAGAACTGTGCTGTATCCCCACTGTGGTTCCAGTTGCACAAATCTACACGTTTAAATTTTCGAGTCTCTGGAGTCTAACAGAGTCATTCAGGTTTGATGAAACCAGGAAATTTTAAAGCTCCCCAAATAATTCTATCCGCGTTCGAGTGAGTCAAACACTGACACCAGTAGAATTTAAATCTGTGCATCTGGCTGTGGGAACACACTGGAGTAATGGGAAATAAAGCTGGGGGAGTCACACAGTTCACTCAGGCTGAGCCCTGAGTCCTTCAGCACTCGAAGCTGGCATGAGAAGAAGCCAGCGAGAGAGGAGGAGGGGATCCAGTCATAGGTGCAGGGGTTGGAACGACCATTGCCTCAGCTGAAGGAAAAAAAAAAAAGCTTTCTGGAGCTGGAGCAGTTGGAGGATCAGGATGGGTTCCTGCGTCAGCCCCTCCTGCAGGGAGGAAGCAATGCAACCCTGCCAGCCCCTTGACCTTTTCTCAGGGGAGCCAATTGTGGGTTTCCAACCTTCCAAACTGGACGATAATGAATCCGTGTTGCTAAGCCACGGGCCTTGTGCTAATTGGTGACAGTAGCAGCAGGAAATGAGAACAGCCCCTATGCCCTGCCCAGGCAAGATCTTACTCCCGTCTTCCTGTGCCCCTCCCTGCTACCCTTTACCCGTGTGGAAGGCTTCAACCTATTCGAGCACTGCATGGCCTTGGGTCCTCCACGTGATGTCTTTGACTTAGTCCTCTCATTTGATTAAAAAGCCTATAATACAACAGACGTCACCTGCGACAATGAGGGTAAATGAGATGACGCCTACGAGGTCTCTTAGCAACCGTGCCTGGCATGAACTTGGTGCTTGATGCTATTTTTAGGCATGGAACAGAATTCTAAAGTTCTTATTCCTGCTCTGGCTCTGGATGGGGTCCCAGCTTTACCTGAGGGGACAGTACCCTCCTGAAGAACATAGGCTAGAAGTGAGCTGGCTCTCTCTTTCTCAACCAGCCTCAGGGAACCACAACCCTGTCCGCTATCCTAACAGCAGAGAGAAACTCAGCCAGTGCTCAAGTCCTTTTATTGCCATTTCTTAGCTGGGCGACATCATAGGAGTGAGTCCACCTCTCTGAGCCTTACCTGCCTATGTACCCGTTGTGAGGCCTGGCCCAGGATGCTGGAGTAAAGGGGAAGTGCGTTCAGTGTGGCTGAGTATGTGACATGTTCAGGTATGGGAATAAACTGCCGGTTTCCCTAAAGGAGGAGGTGCTTCCTCCTAGTCAAGCCTCTGCCCAGGTTTGGGGGATTCTGAGACTCATACAGTTTGAAGCCCTAGTTTAATAATGAATGCCCAGACTTACAAATTCACTAGGGCTTCACATGGGACCATGGTAAAGAGGCGTCCTGAAGGCTGAACTCCATGGTTCTGAGGCCTAAGTCAAATGGATTCCAGAAAAACCCCTCCCAAGCAGTTTAGGTAGACACTAAGAGCCCAAGACTTTCTGGAACGTTCAGAAGCAGTACCCACTGAGGCCTTGCAGCAGAGTCCAAGTTTCTGTGGTCAGAAAACAAGACTCTCAATGGATTTCTGGCAGAATCTTTCGCTCTTGATGCCGGCTACTTGGACTCAAGCAAGTATATAATTGCCTCCTACCTTAGCATCAGCTTGTTGGACTTAACAAGTGAAAATATCAAATGTTCAATTTCAAATAAGTAAGTAATTTTTAAGGTGTAAGTACTTCCCAAATATTGCATGGAACATTTAGCTGGCCTGTCTCGTCCACGCCTGGTAACCACGCCTGCCAGAAGCTTTTAAAGTAAAGTTCAGGGCCTCTCAGGGAGAAGTGAAATTGCCAAATTCTTCCTCAGGCAATAAAGTGGCAACCCAAACTCAGGATGTGTCTTTCAGGTGTGCCCTAGTTCTGAAGAGCAGCCGGGACCCTCGATCCCCAGCACAGGGATAACCGGTGTGTGCAGTGGTGGGGTGTGGTAACGGTTTCTGCCTCCCAAGCCAGTCAGAGACCTGATTGTCAGAGGTACCCCGAGGCAGACAGGCTGATCCTAGAGCGGGAAGAGTTCTAATTCTTCTCTCCAGGCTTCTTTCCACAGTGGCATTTGAAAGACCCGTGAATGGTGTCGCATGAAGTGTATACGCAAGGTGCCGGTGGCAACTTTCCCTGCATCTTAGCCCATTTTCTGTCGCTATAGCAGAGCTCCCGAGTCTGGTAATTTATGAGGAACAGAGGTTTGCTTGACCCACAGTCTAGAAGCTGAGTGAGAATGTTCACCTGGCATCTGGTGGGGGCCTTGTGCCGCCTCCTCAATGGTACCTGACATCTCAGGGCCTGACCCGGAAAACACACCGTCTGGGTCTTCCTTCTCTTATAAAGCCATCAGTCCTATCTTGCTGGCTCCACTCTCATGCCCTCATCTGATGCTAACTGTCTGCCAGAGGCCTCACCTCCAGTTGCCGCTGGTAGATAAATCTGGGGTGGGGCTGGGGTGGGGGATGAGTTTCTGGAGAATAAACTTTGAAAAGCCACATTCAAGCCACGGCATAGATGCTGTTGTCAGCCATTTTGGAAAACTGCATCTCCCCCAGCTGATGGGCATGCTCTCCTGAAAGGCAACTCGGGGACTCCCCTGCACATACACGGGGTCCCCAGGTGGGCACACCTCCATTCAATGTTCGGCCTGCCCACAGTTACATTGGCCACCTGGCCTATCTACCAAGAAGCCATGCTGGAACGCAGCCTCTTGCCTCTGGGGGCAGATTCAAGGGCCCCAGAGTACAAGCCTCTCTCTTCCTGGCCCTGGGCTCAGGCAGGAGCTCCCACTCATTTTTTGCCACACCAGGTGGCCCCTGTGGGGTGACCCACAGACAAGGTAGTGAGGTACACTGTGTCTCGATTGAGCCAGACAGCCCCGCTCATAAGGAGGGGTCTGTGTGCTTATCTCTGCAGAGGCAGAAACTGCAGCTCAGAGCAAGGACAGGCGGCTAGCCCCTGCCATGTGCCTTCAGTTCACATCCAGGGCACCTGATGGCTCAAAGCGGGGCTCCTTCTCCTTGCTGCGGCTAAGAGCCACACTCAGGAGAAATTAAAAGTCTCACCCACCGTCAAGACTATTCTCCTTGAACCGCCTGGAGGTTCTTGGCCTCTTGTCTAGTGACACTTGAGCCCAAATAATTCTTTGCTCCTGGGGCTACTGTTTGTGAAAGCATCTTAGCCCCTAGATGCCAGCGACACTGCCGCCATCTTTGTCATAGCCACAGAAATAGCCAAATATCCCTGGGTTGGCTGCAAGGCAGAACTGGCCTTACCAAGAGTCCGTGCCACAGAAGCAGCACTGCTACGAATCTCTTTAGAATCTCAAGAATGCTCAAGAATCTCTTTAGACTGTTTCTAAGTGTATGTTCCAAGCCTTTATTTCAAAACACAAAAACAAAGCCAGATGGCTGTAGACACGCGGTTCTTGCACTGCTTGCTGTTTTACGGGACGGTAGAAGTCAGCTCTCCTTCTGTATGTGCACCCTGAATTTCTCCTGGAGCAACTTCATGCGATTGCGGTCTTCTTTGGCCACCGCTGTGATGGGCACGGCAGGCCCCTGTCGATGGCGTCAGAGTCGCTCCTCTCCTATGGATTGGCTGTTAGGAGCAAATCCACCCTGATCTACCTGTTCAGCATCCTCGCTGCGTAGGGGCTAAACTCTCGTGTGTGTGTGTGTGTGTGTGTGTGTGTGTGTGTGTGTGTGTGTGTGTGTTGAGTGAGCGACTGTTGCAGGGGCTGCGCACATATGTACACAGGCATGTGGCATGTGGAGGTAAGGTGGGCGTCAGGGGTCTTCCTCAGTTGCTTCTCCACTGAATCTGGAATTCACTGACTGGCTAGCCAATGAGCAGGCTTTTCCTTCCCCTGCCCCCTCTCTGCCAGCTGAACTTATTTTTGTTGTTGTTGTCTATTTGGTTTTAATTGTTTGTTGGTATTTTTTTTTTACAGTGATGTGGGGGATTTGATCTCAGATTCTCAAGCTTTATCAACTGAGCTGTCTTCCCAGCCATGGGACTAAGAAGCAGTGGGCCAGAAGTGTATACGTTTTAATTCTGATCTGCCACATTGTTCTCCAAAATGGTTTGTGCCGATTTGCAGTGAATGTCTTGATTAAAAGCATCCCGTATTTATGAGCATATATTGTGTGCTTATTTGTGTTGTCTCATTGAATTCCTACTATTACTGTGTCCTCCAGGAGCCATCTTTATTCCTATCTGGCAGCTTGTAAGTGGCAGAAACTGGAACCTCAGCTCTGTACTGTCTCAGGTAGGGACTTGTTTCTTTGCCAGTACATTGAGTGTTCATAACCTTTCTGTGAGGTCTGCCCATTTTCCCCAGTTTCTAGCTGGAGGTTACTCATGGCTATAGTAGTTGACCCTCTTTGTCTTTGCTAGAGCAGCAGATCCAATCACAGATATAGAATCTGAGCTTTTTCTTCCTGGGAGGCTCCAAGGCCACTGCCTCCAGGAAGCCGTCTGGGATTGCTCCAGAAGTACTCAGTTATCCTCCATGATCAGCTCTGTGAGGGCCTTGCAGATCTGCAGCAGGTACTTGAAGCCAGCAGGGTAGATGTGTGGGTGTCCTGGATGCTATGGTCATGGAGTCAGGCAGACTCAGGTTAGAAACCTCCTCTGCCATCTACCCTTTCAAGTGAACTCACACAGGAAGTTCCTGTGATGCCCAATGTCATGATTCTTGTCATAGCCAATTCTCCTTCTCCTCTGCTTTACTTTTCTAGTGTTTCTTTTACCCACGGTCAACCACGATCCAAAAATAGTAAACGAAAAATTCCAGACGTAAACAATTCCTAGGTTTAAAATCAGACGTCATTCTACGTATCAGGTGGGATTTCAGCCCATCCCACTCGGGACTTGACATCTTTTTACTAATCACGCCCACACTGTGTGTACAAACCCTCTTGAAGCTCAGAGGAACAGTGCAGAGCAGCCAATGGGGCCACTGGGAGCTCTCACCCAATGGCAGAGACAGCTTCTGCGCTGTCATCAACAGTACAATAGCAGCAAACCAGTTAACAAGTGACGGCCCTGTACCACATTTTAAAATATTTATTTAGTATTTGTGTAAAGCGTGCCTCTGTGTTTATGTACCACCTGGCTGCAGGTGTCCTTGGAGGCTGGAAGAGGCTTTCAGATTCCATAAAACTGAACTTCAGGCAGGTTGTGGGTGCTGGGAACTGAGCCCTGGTCCTCTTGCAAGAGCTCTAACCACTGGGAAATCTCTCTGATCTCTTGGTGTCTCATTTTTGCAGGAGGTAATGTCTTATTCTGTGGCTCTACAGAAGCAGATACGAAGATGAGGATTTAGGACAAGACTGTCAGATCCAAAGGAAACTTCAGTCCCCCAAATTCTGGGGCCCATTCCCCTCTAGCATTTCCTCATCACTGGCAGAAGGGCCAGACAGTTGTCTGGAGTGCCTGCTGGCACTCTAAAGCACAGGCCGGCCTCCAGGCGGACTCAGTACCTGTGGCTCTCCTCAGCCCATCCCCTACCCTGAACCTCTCCAGATCATGGGCTTCCTGTCCCTCAGCTTCTCATTCCTACACAGCCCTGCCATTTTGACTATGCTCTCTCTTTTGTCTTCCTTTCTTGGCTTTCCCTCTCCTGCCTCTCTCTTTTGGTCAGCTCCTTCTCTCTCTCACCACCAACCCCCTCTCATGGCCAGGCCCAGTCTGCTGGCCATGCTCAATCTACTACTTTCTCTCCCTGCTCTGGACTCTTCCCAATGCCTCTGGCCATTCTCCCTCTCGTATCCACAACAAAAGCCTTCAACTCAACCAGACCTCAGAGCAGTTATGTTATGTCCTCATTTCATACATGTGGTGCCAAAGCCCTCAGTTTGAATAAAGTCATTCATTTCAGAAGTTTCATATCAAAGCAGGAAAGGGTCCCAAACCATTGAACTGGTGTATTGGCACAGCCATCTCTGTGCCCCCAAGAGCCTCGGCAACTGCCATGCCAAGGGGTCCATCATGGCTTCTCCCCTAGGTCTGGGGGAGACTGGCTACTTCGCTGGCTGCAAGGCTTACTGCACTGTCAGGGGGTGGAGGAGATGTCTGTGGTAGCCTCCAACACAGCTTCCTTCAGGCAGCTTGTGGGAACTTCATAATGAACCCATGCCCACTCATCTTGGGTTTATCGTTGTCCTAGCTTGACACAACAAGCTAGAGTCAAATGGACAGCAGAGTCTCAGCTGAGAAAATGCTCCTATCAAATGGCCCATAGGCAAGTCTGTGGGGGCATTTTCTTGATTGCTAATTGATGTAGGATGGCCCAGCCCAGTGTAGGCAGTACTTTCTAAGTACTCCCTAAGACCAGCTCCTCCTTGACTGCCAAGCAGGCAGTGCTGGGTTATACAAGAAAGCAGGCTCGGCAAGCCATGAGGAGCAAGCAGCATTCCACAATGGCCCCTACTTCAGTTCCTGACTAGATTTCAGCCCTGAGCTCCTGCCCTGGCTTCCCCTGATGGTGGACTCTAAACCGAAACAAACCCCTTTTCTCCCCAAGTTGTTTTTGTCATGGTGTTTCATGACAACAATAAAAAGCAAACGAAGACAATCGCTGGCTGACCTTGTCTTTTAATTACTATTGACTTGGCGTCTCCTGCCAGTTCTGTAATCCTCCTGAAAGTCCATTTATTGTATGTCCTTAGGTTTTCTCATCACCATGCTGGCCTACACAAACCTTTGCTGATTGTCTCAGTTACTTTGTTATGGTAACACAAAGCTGAAAGGGATTGGTCCTTCCTTAAATGCCACTGAGGGAAGTCATCTCATGGTAACTGATGCTATGTCAGTCAGGGACTGTCGATCATTTCAGATCTGACACAGAGCCTTGGTGAGCAGTATCATCCCAAATGAGAAGACTGAGACCTGGAGATGTTCAAGGTCTCAGAGGCAGTGCACCAGCAGAGCTGGCCCTTGAACTCCAGTCTTTCTAGTTCAGAGATTCCCTGACCCCACCATGTTGTTTAATTTTAGGCAAAGCAGGTTTGGGCCAAATTGTAATTCAGGTTTATGGGAAGAAAAAAAATCTAGCAATGCAAGTGGTCTTCATGATTTAGCACCAAGTTTTATCTGGGTCATGATTCTGCTAATACCAGCTCTTCCTTGAGAGAGGGAAGATCCCCATCCATCCATCCATCCATCCATCCATCCGTCCGTCCATACTTGCCTTGATTTTTGTGTACATACACATGTATGCATGCAATACACGTCACAAATACACACACACACACACACACGTTTCTTCTGTTTTTCCTTTGAATTGGAGAAAAGCAGTCATGTCTGAGGCTTAGGGCTGGAGTTTAAGGGCAAGCTAAATATTTGGAGAGAATGCCATGATGATTTGTTTTTGACATTAACAAGCAAGAAGCACATGAATTGGCACAGCTTCCTGGAGCTGAGAGGAGTTTCCCACAATGCACTTCAGGAGAGTAAGACAAAGACAAATGAACTCAACTGCAAGAATTGGTTCCCTGCTCTGCGTATGGGTATGGCCCCCTGTTACAATGTGGTCAGGTATAAGTGAAGACACTTGTACATTTGATAGAGCAATTAGAGAAGATGGGGACTCAAAGGCCTGGGTTCTGCTCAGCATTGCCACCAGTCAGTAACCTGGAAAAAAAAAATCACTAACCTAGACCCCAAGCCCAAGTCTTTAAGAACTGAATGTACATCACACCATTTCTCTATTACATTCAGGTCTGACACAGCCAGCCTTTTACATCTATAAGGAATTCCATCTTTGAGGGACACACACCTTGACCAGCAGTTATAGGGATGATTACTCAAAGTAGCCAATGTTTACAAAGCCCTTGTTACAAGCCAGGGACTGGTAAACCACTGTGACTCAGTTCCCTCTGTCCTCTAGTACCTTTATCATCCCACACTAATAGGGAGATTGAGATCAAGGCTTAAAAGAAGCTCAGTGATTTGCTCAAGTCACAGAATAGAAATAAAAGCAAAATTAAATGTCAAGAGACACTGGGAAATCCAGGGTTGCCCTGGAATCTGCTTCACATGGGGGCTGAGAGACAGAGACAGAGAGACAGAGAGACAGGAGAGACAGGAGAGAGGCCAGGTCTGACCCCCTCATGAGTGCCTGGCTGGCTTCAACTCAGGGGTACAATGCAACCAGATCTGCTTGGAGAGGCCCCAGCTAGTCATGCACTGAGCCAGAAACCTGAGCAGCTCCTGAGAGGAGCTGGAAGGCAGCCGGGGCCCTGGGGCCCTGTCCTATCTCAGGTTCACCCTCACAGGCTCAGTAGCTTTTGCCCCTTACTAATGGCGCCACCTCAGATCAGTGCCAGGGAACCACTGGCCCTAAGGGAGAATTGGGGGCAGAGGCTTAGAATGCCCTCACCGGCAAGCTCTCAGGGCGAATGCCAAGTCCCAAGTCTCTCATCCTCCCATGTGTTCAATTCTGTCACCCTCCCGGATGCTGGCTGACCTGACAGGCTGACCTTGCTGTGAATCCTACTGTCTGCTGTTATTGCTTCAACACTGTTCCCTGGGAATTCTTTCTCTTCCTCTTTCCCGGGCACCTCCTCGCCACCTCCCCCTCTGATATACCTCAGAGCGACCTGTAACTGTGAGGCCCAGTAACATTGCTCAGACTCACCTCAGGAAGCTAAGTGAAAATGAATTCATACACCAGGCATTGACAATGTTGAAACAAATGTTTTTTAGATTGGTCTTGTTCTGTAGCCCAGGTTAGTCGGCTATGTGTCATTGTTGCCCAGGAAAGCCTTGAAATCATGGCAATCTTCCTGCTCAAGCCTCCCAAGGAAGTTACTAATTTGTTTAAAGAAACGCACTGTATGATTTAAAAAAAACAAAACAAAAACAATATTCTAATGGAAAAGACAAGGCTCTAGTTGGAATGTGATACATTTTTACGATGTCATACATTATAAATGTGTGTTTCACACTTACTCCAGAAGTATCACACCAGGCAAGCTCACATGACTGGAATATCACTTCCCTTTTCAGATGAGGAAACTGAGGCATAGAGAGGTGAAATAACTTGCCCAGGGTTTCAGAAATTACAAGAGGCAATTTACTAAGGCAG